ATTCTCACACACTTCTTTTTTTTTTTTTAATTTTTTAAAAATGTTTATTTATTTTTGAGAGAGAGTCACAAACAGAGTGCGAACAGGGGAGGGGCAGAGATTGAGGGAGACACAGAATCCGAAACAGGCTCCAGGGTTTGAGCTGTCAGCACAGAGCCCGGCCTAGGGCTTGAACTCACAAACTATGAGATCATGCCCTGAGCCGAAGTCAGACGCTCAACCGACAGAGCCACCCAGGCGCCTCATGACATCACACTTTTTTAGTTCTAAGTAGTTACTGACACATGTACGTGAGACACAGATCGAGTGCTCTGGAAGCTGGCCCTGGCTAGCAGGGAGCTGACTTTCCGGAAGACTCTAGGAAGGCCCCCTAGAATCGTAGAAGAGTCTCTCTGAGCTGCAGCCCAGCAGAGGAAGAAGAGCAGCTGGTCTGCAGTTGTGCAAAGGCCAGACATTTGCCCCTCTTGGGTCTGCCTGAGCTGAGTGAAACTTGATGACAAGGGCAAAGAAAGACCAAACGAAGAATTCTGTGCCAGGAGCACATTTGGTGACAAGGAGTTTTGTACCGCGGCCGAAACAGAGGTGTGGGGAGGTCTGATTATGAATGAAACCTGCAAACCTTAGGTGGATGTGATATTGACACATTTTGAAAGAGCCCCATAAGAATGGAAAAGGAGTAAGGGGTTCATTGTGATGAAGTAAGATTCTAAGTCCAGGGATCTTTGAAGAATTGCCTGCTTTGTTATTTATAGGTTCAGAAAAAGCACCCTGTTTTGGGGATTCTTCCTCTTCTTACCTTTGATAGAATGCAAATTACCTTTCGTCCTCAGGGATGAAGTTTGTCCCTGCAAGCGCACATGGCTGGCATTGTAGGAAGTGAATTGAGGGCTTCTTTCAGCAACGGGGAGAGTGACACAGGGAGATGTTTGCCCATGGACGGAAGTTCAGTTGCTTTCTGGAACTTGTCCATAAAAAGGCCGTTCCTTAGGTGAAAAGCATCCTTTTTGCTCTGTGTTTTTAATGAGTCAAATGATTCACGTTTTCATCCAGCGATTGTGTAAAACAATTTGGTTTTCGTTTGCAAGGATGAAAGGCATGTGTCTAAATTGCTAAATAGTATTTTTAAGAAACTAGTCTGAGTCTGTCTTTATGGGCTCTAAGTGGTTTCGCCTTTAGAAGCTTGTTTTAGGATCTCATGCCAACCCCGTCCCTTCCCAGGCCTGTTCAGACTAGAATAATCTGGCAGGCGAGGTCCTTTAGAAAAAAACAATGTCTTGAGCAGGAGCGTCTCAGAAAATGTTCACCTCGGGCTTCAAGTGACCATCAGCTGGTGTGAATGTTTTTTTGGTCCGTCTGGTCACAGGATCTCAGGTATGCAGGAATTCGATGGACAGCAATCACGTGCTGGTCATGGTGAGACCCTGGCTCCCATAACTCAGCGTAACCCCAAAGGAATCCAAGTCCGCAAGAATGTACTTGAATTAGTCACCTGTATTTAAAAGCCTGGGTTTTTCCCCCCCGCCACTCTGACATAGGTTTCATCCCAGGGTGCACGGTGTGTGTAGATGTGTGCATTTCTTCCCTGGGCGATCGTTGAGTTCTGTAGACTTTCTGTTTTCAACCACACAGGGGGTGGTTTGCTAGTTCTTTTTGTTTTGTTTTGTTTTGTTTTTTGTAAACAACTTTATGGAGGGATAATTGATCTACAAAGAACCTATACCTTATTTCTTGTATGCAGTTTGATGAGTTTGGGCGTGTGCAAATACCCATGATGCTATGGCCACAATCAAGGTGTAACAGACATAAGCAGTAACTCCTAAAGTTTCCTTGTGTCCATGTGTGTGTGTTGAGAACACTTAACATGATATCTACCCCATGGGAGACCGTTTTTTTGTTCGCTTCTAAAGTAAACTCTGACTTTGTTACAAGAGCCTTCTGGGGTGGATCTGGCAGATCCATAAATATATTTGTGTTCCTATTCAGTTTCCAAAAGCTGCTGGGACATGCGCTAAAATATGTGAAATCTCATGAGTGGGGGTGAGAGGGGCATCTGGAGTCACACTTGACCATTTTGACTTGGGAAAGTTAACATTCTATTCATCCCTCTTCATTGACGTCCACCTACGGTGCCTTGGGTCAACGTTTCTTTCCAAAAACTACAATTTCTAAAGTCAGTGGTCCTTTTTGGGGGCGGGGGGGGGCAAACAGAATCCTCTCAATAATCCCTTCAAAGAGACACAGTAAGCCCACTCTTCTTAAATAGAATGACCCCCCCCCCCCACCACACACATACACACACACACACCCTGCATTTCGTTCATTTCCAGTGGAACTTCGATGCGAATGCCATTTTATATCTGTCATCTTAGCTTGAAACACCAGTGGGCTTCTGTACTTGATTTGGTTTATAGGTCACCCCTGCTCTAATTCTGGAGGGTGAGCTCTTCAAATTCTAGGTTAACGTTTTCAACAGCAGGTGGCAGGCTTCACTGTTAATCAGTCTTCTCCCTTTAAACTCTCTTTCCATTCTGTACACCTCGGATAAATGGTCTTTAGTCCGAATGGACAGACATTGTTTTAGTGGTTGTCTTTATTCTGTTTGTTTGCATCGTGAACGAGACTTGAGCAGCAAGTACCTTGGTTACAGTTGTGTCACTGGTCCCTGGGGCTTAGCTGGCTTCTTAATTGTTAGATAATGGGATTATATAATGTGACGTTTTTAGTTGGACTGGATTCCTTTTCTTTGACTTTTACTTATAAGCTTTGAAAATGGTTTCTTAAAATTTTTACCTCAAAATGTTTTGGGGGGAGGTGCCTGGATGGCTCAGTTGGTTAAGTGTCTGACTTCGGCTCAGGTCATGATCTCACGGTTCATGGGTTCAAGCTCCGTGTCAGGCTCTGTGCTGACAGCTCAGAGCCTGGAGCCTGCTTCGGATTCTATGTCTCCCTCTCTCTCTGCTCCTCCCCTGCTCATGCTCTGTCTCTGTCTCACTCTCAAAAATAAACATTAAAATATTAAAATAAAAAAATTTTTTTTAATCTTAGAGATTGAGTGCGTGCTTTAGGCAGAGAGAGGGGCGGAGGGAGAGAGAGAATCTTAGGCAGGCTTCCACGCTCATTGCAGAGCCTGACGCGGGGCTCAATCCCAAAACTCTGGGATCATGAACTGAAATCAGGAGTCGGACACTCAATTGACTGAGCCACCTGGGTACCCCTAAACTTTGAAAATGTATTATTGGTTAATAGTCTGTGCTATAGTATATTCCTTCGATATTCTGCTTTATATTTTCATAAACTTTAAAAATGTGTTCGTGGCTGATACTAATCTATAGCATAGTCTTTAATAAAATCTTATTTCGTTTTCCCTTTTGGTATTACCTAGGTAAGTTTAAAAAGAGGGGGAAAAGACCATCTTAACCTCCTAGTTCTTTAAATTTAGGAACATTCAGAGGATAGGCAGGGCAGGCTTTAACAATTAAAAATACCATTCTTCTAATTTAAATGTAGACCAAAACTTATAAAAGCTAATCCTTTGGGTTTTGGCATTAAAACTAACCAAACCGAACCCTTGCTTCACTGTAATTGTCAGTTATTCATAAAAGTGGAGTTATGAACATTTAGTTTTAGTGGTTTATGAAATATAAATTGGCGTGTTCTATAAAATGCTTCATTTCACATTGAGGATGAGATCCAGCCAAACCTGCACAAACAGTCTTTTTTTTTTCTTTTTTCCAACTTTGGTACGTATGCCCAGGCTTTCAGGCAGTGCCAAATTGTACTTCATAGATAGAGTTGGTTTTGATGTATTGAAAAATAAAAAAAAAAAGGAAACAATCAAACAAAAACCTACTTCACCTTATAAATTTCACCTTCCTCCCCTAAGAGCGAGCCACCTGGTGAAACCCTATTATTATAACTTGGCAAGTAGCTTCTCTCTTAAAATTAGACATCTGTGATTAAGTAGTTAAATCATTCCCTTGAAATGTATATATTTAGAGCTCCCAGAATGCTGGTCATCTTGTCTTCCAGCTAACACAATTTTTTAAAGGCACTTCTCCTGGCAACGAATATTTCAGTGTCATTCTGTGGTCTAGCTACGCGTCCGGTCGAATTGTCGTGATTTAAGGTTCTAAGTATAGGCTTTCTTCCAACTGATGATCCCTTTCCTCCATCTTTTCAAAGTGACAGCCAGAGCGTTTTAAATTCATAAGAGGGTAGGATTCTACATGTTCTTAGAAGTCAAAAATAATCAGGCTTTCTCCTGCTGGGGCCTCTGTTCCCACTCTTGCCTCTCTCTGCGGTGATCTTTCTCACCCCAGGTCTGTGACATGTTCCTCCTCCTCCGCCTCCTTAAGGGATCTTCTCAAATGAGGCTTCCACCGACTACCTATGCAAATAGCGCTCCTCTTTGCTGTCACATTACTCTGGGAAACGATCATACACATCAGTTGAGTTTCTTCTTTGTCTTTGCCTACACACACCTCGGTGTCGCATTTCCAGTGCCCAGCAGAAAGTACGGAGAAGGCACTCCGTAGGCATTTCTGGGGTGAATGAATGAATGAATCCATGGAGAGGACATCGAGCCTCCAACCGTTTGTCTCCCTACATGGCATTAGGAGAGGACAGCTTGGAGCTGACGTGCTGGCGAGCTGCTGCTTTGAATACTTTGTGACATCTCTTTTTTTTTTTTTTTTTTTTTTTTGCAGGTTTCTTGGGTGTGTTAGACATCTGGTAGAAATAACATTATCATCCTCCATTTATAGCGGGGAAATAGAATTTCTTTCCTGTAGTTTATCTTACCTGTGTGCATTGTTGCATTTTTGTTTGCTTTTTACCACTTTCACTTGGGTAATCGAGCAGAGATGCACATTGGGGGCAAAAAGCAAACAAAAATTCACCAAGACCATAATAAAAGGGTGGGTTGGGGTGTGTGTTTGTCTGTGTAAATATCATGTCCCCATAATCTTCCAGTATTGATGTTCTTCTCTTTCCTTTCACAGAGCCCCTCCCCAGAAGGCTGCGGATCACCTAGCTGCTGGTGTGTGTAGGTGCCCTCAAGGGCTCAGTAGCCAGTGTAGACCCTGTCTTTAGGAATCAGTAGCTACATCTGGCTACTGGGTCTCTGATGGCATCTTCTGGCATCTGTGACCGTGTCCTGAGCGAGGTTGTTTGGGAGTCCTTCTTAATTCACGTGTTACCTTGATTTACACACACACACACACACACACACACACACGCACACGTAGAATTAAGTTCTGGAGTGGTACGTCTTCCGTTATTAGCTGGAGTGTGAGAACCCTCCAGGTTGAATGAATGATGAGGTGAATTGATTTCAGCACCACAAGGAAGAGGAATCCGTAGACTTTTCTTTTTCTTTCCTCTTTTCCCCATGTGGAAGGTGTCTTCTGGTCACAAAATCGTCTACCTACTTACTTATCTACCTGTATACCTTATCCAGCCAGCCAGCCAGCCACCTCCCCATCTGCTCATCCATCCATCCATCCATCCCCCCATCCCCCCATCCCCCCATCCATCCATCCATCCATCCCCCCATCCCCCCATCCCCCATCCCCCCATCCCCCCATCCATCCATCTATCCATCCTCCCATCCATCTATCCATCCATCCATTCACCCATCCCCCCATCCCCCCATTCATCCATCCACGCATCCATCCTTCTATCTATCCATCCATCCATCCACCCATCCATCCATCCATCTACTCATCCATCCATCTATCCATCCATTCACCCATCCCCCCATCCCCCCATTCATCCATCCACCCATCCATCCTTCTGTCTATCCATCCGTCCATACATACATCCACCCACCTATCCATCCATCCACCCACCCATCCATCTTTATCATCTCTTGACTTTTAAATGGCATTTTCACAATCATGTGATTAATAATGACAATTTTACCATATGACAGTTTAGGAAATTTTGCTTGTAGTTGATAGGTCCCAGCAGTGCATTCTGATGTGTCTTTTCAAAAGTGTGGTAGATACGATACATACTAGGAACTCTGAACGCAGCAGGCAGGTGTGTTGAAATCATGCATGGGGAGGACCTGCATCCAGGTCTGGGGCGTGAACCTGGCATACAATGTAGATATCTGTGTTTCTTGGGCAACAGCTACATTGTCTGCTGGGTTTCAGGCTACCTGGAAATATCTTCTTCATGGTTATACCCTCAGTGCTTCACCTGCAGGGGTCTGGAATAAGTGTTTCCCAAGAGGCAGAAACCAGTGGGCTTTAGAATTGGACAGAGCGTTAAGCAAGAACCTCATGACAGCTGATCGCCTTAGCAAAGAATTATTTTGTTCTGATTTCACCCAAGATGCTCTCCCACACCAGCCTAGGAAACTTAGTGAACCAGAGAAAAGGTGTAATGCCATGCATCCTTCCTTCGGCCTCAACTCTCAACGAGTGGTCGCTTACGTGTTATTAATTCATATTTGGTTTCTGTTCATAATTACTATCACCAGGCATAGCCTCTATGGGTCTGATCACACTTCCCTGCTCATTTTGGCTTCTCGCCCATATGCAGATCCCCAGTTTAGTTTTGTTCCCCCTTTACCACAGCCCTGTAACTTCCGTAAGTGACTCTCAGTCTCACCGGATTCTAGATCTTTCACTCTGCCCCAACATTCAACCCCATCGTTTGCTCCCTAAATTGAACTCTGGAATTTACATAAACTGGAGTTCTGGGGTTTTTTTGTTTTTTTTTTTTAATGCCACTGTTCACCATCTCTTTTATGAAACCAGAAGAACAGCTTTATGGCATGACTGAGAACTTGTAAAGATAAGACACCGGTTTGCAAGAGAAACGGAAGAAGAGAATGGGAAGAGCTTCTGGAAAACTTTTTACATTATGGTTTGTTTGTCTGCTCCTAGTAAATAATGTAATCCCCTAATCATTAAATAATGTAAATCCCCTAAGCAATTTAAACCAATAGATTCTCAGTAAGAAAGGAATATAACTTTTTAAAGGAGAAGTTTATAAACTCTTGGTTACATGGAGAATTTTAGTCAGAGATCATGTGTTTTTCATTACTATGAATTCACAGATTTAAAGTAGAAAGTGAATGATAAGGAAATGTTAGTGTGTAATAGTTGATTTTTGTGATCATAATGTATTTTTGTCACCCCATGCTGAATTCAGGAAAAATAAAGCTAACAACTTGGAACTTTTTTGTGTGTGCTTTAGTTTGTGTCTTTTAGCCTTTTATCCACCTCTCTGTGATCTGTTCTGCACTGAAACCACTGGCCTGTGTGCTTTGGGAGAGAAAGTCCTTGCACTTGAGCTATTTGACATCCTTAGAAGAGAGATAAAGGTCTCTGGGTGGCAGGCTTATATTTAATAAATCATAGCTGTCAAAGGGACAGTTTGCTTTCTCCTCTGTCTACTTCCATAGTTGTGATGCCCTTTGAGTCCCTTTGCCTGTTATTAAAAAAAAAAAAAAAAAGTGTTGCCAACGGGGCCCACCATGGAGAACTCATTACATGGTCAGGGTTTTATTTCCCACTCAAGTCCAAGTGCAATGTAGCTAGTATTGAATTGACCCCGAAAGCCAGATTCAAGGTGCCAGGGACGGGAACCGAGAAATGGATGGACATTTGGTGTGTTGGCTCTTCCTAAAAGACGCACAGCAACATGGTTATAGTCCTTTTTTTTTTTTTAAACTTTCCATTTTTAAACAATTTCAGATTTGCAAAAAGTTACAAAAAACACTACAAAGAGAAGACCGTACTTTATGTGGGAGCTTAAAATGGTGCAGCCCCTTGGGAGAAGTTTGGCAGTTCCTCCAAAAGTTAAAAAGAGCTCCCATATGACGGGGCAAATTCTGCTCCTAAGTTTATACCCCAAAGAAGTGAAACCGAGGGGCGCCTGGGTGGCTCAGTTGGTTGGGCGTCCGACTTTGGCTCAGGTCATGATCTCACGGTTCGTGGGTTCGAGCCCCGCGTCGGGCTCTGTGCCGACAGCCAGCTCAGAGCCTGGAGCCTGCTTCGGATTCTGTGTCTCCCTCTCTCTCTGACCCTCCCCCGCTCACGCTGTCTCTCTCTCTCTGTCTCTCAAAAATAAAAACATTAAAAAAAAGAAGTGAAAACAGACACAGCAACGAATCCATGTTAACAGCTGCACTCTTCATAATAGCCCAAAGATGGAAACAACCCAAATGTCCATCAACTGATGGATGGATAAAAAGTGGAATATATCCACACACTGGAATATTACTCAGCCATAAGAAGGAATGACTACACTACACACTGCAATGCAGGATGAACCTTCAAAACATTACACTAAGTCCAAGAAGCCAGAGGGACACCTGGGTAGCTCAGTCGGTTAAGTGGCTGACTTCGGCTCAGGTCATGATCTCATGGTTCATGGGTTCGAGCCCCATGTGGGGCTCTGCTGACAGCGCAGAGCCTGGAGCCTGCTTTGGATTCAGTGTCTCCGTCTCTCTCTGACCCTGCCCTGCTCATGCTGTCTCTCTCTCTCTCTCTCTCTCTCAGAAATAAATAAAATTTTTAAAAATTCAGAAAGTAACAATATAATACTATAATCTAAGACACCCAATTCACATTTCACCACCTGTCTCACTATTGTCCAATTTCAGGTTCAAGAACCATTTAAGATCCCATATCTGGTTGCCCTGTGTCTCGTCTCCTTTAACCCGAAAGAGTCCCCTCGGCCTGCCTGTCTTTCATGACTTTGACACTTGAGTACGAGCCAGCTACTGTGTAGAATACCCTTCAATGTGTATTTCTCTGATGGTTCCTTCTGCTTCGGGTTACACATACGCCAAGGACACCAGAGAAGTGACCATTTGCTTTTCTCAGTGACCATTAGGAAGCACATTGTATTGGTTTGTTCCACTCCTGGCATTGTTAACTTTGACCATTTGGTTAAGTTGGTGTTCGATCCTGGCTATTTATATTTTTCTTGCTTTTTAAGAAGTTTCCTTTGGGGTGCCTGGGTAGCTCAGTCAGTTGAAGTCCAACCCTTGACTTCAGCTCAGGTCATGATCCCAGGGTCGTGGGATCGCCTCCTGTGTCAGGCTCCACACTGAGCATAGAGCCTGCTTAGGATTCTCTCTCCTTCTGCCTCTCTCCCTCTCGAAAAAAAAAAAATAATAATAAAATAAAAAGTTCTTTTATCACCGTCTTGTCCTCTCCATTTTCCCTCGCCCCCCACCCCCACCCAAAGTTAACTGTTTAATGGACACCATTTAGTTTTTATATGTTCTTGAAAAATCCTTTTTGACATTCAGGTATTTTTAATTCATATGAGTGATAATTGTGTTCTATCCCATTCTGTTTCTTTTTATTATTATTATTATTAAACACAATGTTTTTAAGATCAATCCATGTTGCTGTCCAAATTTGTTGCTTCTAATTCTGCACAGTGCTCTATGGGGTAGAACCACCGCATTTGAAGGATACCATTTCCAAAGATGGACCTCAAATGGGAATCGATACCTTGCTACCACAAATAACATCATAGTAAACGTTCTACCCCCTGTCTCCTGGATCCGTGTAGGAAATTACTTGGATCCTATTATGAAGGGTGGAGTTGTTGGGTCATAGAAGATATATCTCCCACCCCCCCCAACACACACCCCACGGCCCTCGGAATTCCCTGATAAGTGTGCTTCCAACTTCAGTGAATGAGACTTCTTATGCACATTCCTGCCAGTAATTAACACGATGAAGCTGTTTTTCCCAGTCTAAAAGATGGAAAGTGACATCTTACTGTTTTGATTTGCATTTCTCCGGTTACTAGTGATCAAGGACATTTTTTTTCCACATTCATTTGAACTTCGGGAGTTTTCTGTGAGGTTCATATGTTCTTCTAATTTTTAACTTAAGATTCTGAAATACAGCACACCTGTGGGAAAACGTACATAAAATAAATGGGGGTAGCTCAGTAGATTAAGCATCTGACTCTTGATTTTGCTTCAGGTCATGTTCTGACAGTTTGGGAGTTCAAGCCCGCATCGGGCTCTGCGCTGACATTGCCAAGCCTGCTTGGGATTCTGTCTCTCTCTCTTTCTCTCTACCTTCCCCCCCACCCCCCCCACCCCCCCCGCTCACGTGCACGCATGCGCGCACACTCCCTCTGTTCTAAACTAAACTTGGGGTGCCTGGGTGGCTCAGTCGGTTAAGCGTCTGACTTCGGCTCAGATCATGATCTCACGGTGCGTGGGTTCGAGTCCCGCGTCAGGCTCTGTGCTGACAGCTAGCTCAGAGCCTGGAGCCTGTTTCAGATTCTGTATCTCCCTCTCTCTCTGACCCTCCCCTGCTCAAGCTGTCTCTCTCTCTCAGAAATGAATGAAAACACTAAAAAGAAACTTAAAAATATATAAAATAAATGAAAACCCCCCTGAATAGATTTGTGTAACCACCACCCAGATCAGAAAATGGAATATGGCTGGGACTTCAGAAACCCTACCCCTGTGTGTCTGTCCCAGTCATTGTCCCTCCTCC